GCACAGGGAGGGAAAAATTAATGACAGAAGAAAGAAAAAAAATGTTTAAGTCACCAGTCTCCTATGTGTGGACCTGGAAGGCGTTTTCCATTTTTCACTCTTATAAAAGAGCCAAGAAGATGATGCAGTACTTAGACCTATGTGTTTATGTGCAACTATTTCTGTAGGATAAATTCCTACAAGTGGACCTGCCGGAGAGAAGGGTCTGCACATTTTTTAAAGTGGTACATATAGCCAAACAGCCCCAAATTGCATCAGTCTACACTTCCATCAATGGAGTATGAAAATGCCGGTTGCTCCATAGTCATCAGCATTGGGCATTATCATTCCACTTACTTTTTGCAAATCTAATATAAAAAATTCTTACTGTTATTTGAATTTACATTTCTTCTAAAATAAAACTTAACTGTTTAGTTTGGCAGTTTCTTAAAAAGTTAAACATGAATTTACCATATGACCCAGGAATTCCATTCCGAGGTATCCACCCAAAAGAAATGAAAATATATGTGCACCCAAACACTTACGCACAAATGTTCATAGCAGCATTATTCATAATAGTCTCAAAGTGGAAACAATCCAAATGTCTATCAACTGATGAATGGATCAACAAAATGCAGTATATCCACATAATGGAATATAATTCAGGCATAAAAAAGAATGAAGCACTGATACATGCTACAATATAGATGAGCCTCAAAAAACATACACAGTGAAAGAAGCCAGACTGGTAATGAGCATGGAAATCCCTAAAATTGATTATAAGGATGACTGCACAACTCTGTGAATATATGTAAAAACCACTGAATTTTACCTTTAAATGAGTGCATTGTAGGGTACGTGGATTATATCTCAATAACACTGTAATTTTTAAAAGAAGAATGCCGGTTATAAACAAGCTGGTTATAAAACAGCAGTTAGAGTATGATCCCATTTTTGTAAGAAAAAAATATATATATACCTACACACACATATATAAAATATTTAATGTATACATATAGAAAAAATCCCAGAAGGGTAGAGCCTAAATTATAACACTAGTTTGTTCTGGGTGGTAGGATTACAGGGTCATGGATATTTTTCACAAGAGGGAAAAAAGGATTCTCTGACCCCTTTGCTTATGGGCTTTCTTCTACTCAAGGTTGGTAGTAGCTGAATTTTTCACAAGATATATTACCAATTTAATCTGTTTAAATTTTAAAATAATAGTAACACCTTCAAAATTATTAAATCAAGCCTTCTTGACTTACAATATGAATCACTAGTCTGTTAAATCAAGTCATTCTTTCATGCATTCTGGCCTTTTAAAAATTAGGTAGCAATGATTATCCTAGTCACTAAAAACTCCCCAAGGAATGTCTCTCTCTGAAGTGACAATGGAGCACTACAGAGTACAAACTGTTTTAACCGAAAAGTTTCCAGGACAGGACAAGTGCTACTCGCACAGGAAAGAAAGGGCCTGTTGAAGTAGCCGAGGACAGAGCAATCTAGCGTACACTCTCATGCCGAACCCCAAATCCAGGAGGCCTTTCTCCTTTCAGTCAAATGTGGAAGCAACACTAATTAGCTTTCTGAACGCCATCCCCACAAGAACACTAGTCGTCTGTGGGCAGCGGCATCTGGAAGTGACAGAGGTACTGGGACAGGTTCTGGAAGGTCAGAAAGTGCCCAGAAAGCTGTCGGGTATAGTTTAGCCACAAGAAGCTACCAAAACCTAGAGGGAAAACATTGTATAAAACTTAGAAAAAGGAGGAAACATTCTCTCCAAATCTTTTGTAGGATGCCACTCCAGAAAAAATTAATTTTGAAATGTGGGGATTTTATTTAGAATGAGTAAAACATTTAAATTATATCTATGTATATTGCTAACTAGTAACAAGTCTGTTTTTGCGTTATTATTAAAAGCAATCATATGCAATGCAAAAATTTAAAGACTACTACAAACTATAAAGAGTATAAGTAAAGCAGTAATGACAAGGTCTGGCTTTAAATTCATGAAGCAATGGAGAGTTCAAACTGGTTTTTCACATTTTGCCCCTTCCTCCACTCCAGTCACACCCACCACAGCTCCACCAGCCAATATGTACCATCTGGCAGTGACTGTTATTATACAGTTTGTTTACTCCCAAATAATGTAATTATATCTAAAAATGTATGCAACTGTACAATTTTTATGTAAAATGATCTACATTTAGTAAAAAGAGCACAGACTATAAGCTAGTCAGGCCTAGTGAAAGTGACTGCTCAATAAATGTAAATAGAGGAATTGACTTGGACAAGACCTCACTAACCCTAGGTAAATGTGTTTTAACGTCTCTGGACTAAATATATGTAAAATATATTAACATATATGCATGGAATATGTATGCATTCATATACATCCACAGAAAAAATTCAGGAAAGTTACAAACTAAACCTTAAGACTGGCTTTTCTCTGGCTCGGAGGAGTACAGGGGTAGGGTGCTGTCATAATAAATTAAAAGCATGGATATGAAGGCATTTAACATACGCTCCTGCCCATGTGGAGCCCTGACATTTTCACCAGAGCAAAGAAAGACAGTCTCTTCTTTGCTAACAGAATTTTCTCTATTTTTTGATGTAGTGGTTGTTATACTAAGTGTTCCTCGTATCATGACTGAATCCAAGAATTAGAGGGAAAAGGCTAATAGTGTAGCATCTACTTACTCCTATAGATATTAGATACCAGGTGCTCGTTAGTTAGACAAGAGTAAGCAGAAAGATTTGAGAGTTGAAAAGAAAGTAGAACCTCACTTCTGACCTTATGACCTTGAGATTCTCAAAGGTTAGCTGAAGTAAAATATATTTGCATTTTGAAGGGTAAGGTTTAAAATAAGTTGGATGGAAAATATTAAAATGTGGTATTGTTTAGGTTATAAAGACATACTTAGCACTCAGGCTATCTTCATAACAAACAATACAACATCTGTAAAGAGTACTAAAAACCAAGTGCCGTATCATCTTACTAACTTCTCCCAGCCCATCTCAGGCCCCAAACACACTCAGAAAACTTGCAGCAAAGGCTACCTCTCTGGCTAAAATGCATTACCCAAATTTCTAACAGAGTGGGGAAATGGCATGGAACTCCCAACGTCAGATTTTAGTATACCCTGACTGAACAAATCTGAGCTTTGAATTCTAAGAAAGGTGACAACTGATACTTATCAACTTAATCTTGTTATCCTTAGAAAAGTTTAATTGTAAAATCAAAAATATTTCTCTGGCTGATTAAATATTGCTGGATTTTTACAACATTCAAATTAATTCAATGATAAAGTCCTTTAACTTCAGGGAGATTTTCTCATTTTAATTCATGAAATTTTTGTCATTTAATATTATTTATATCATAATCACCCATAATGGATAAAAAAGTTCACCGCCTATATGATAATCTGCTTAGTGGTTAAGAACAACAGCTCTGCACCTGGACTGCCTAGGTTCAAATCTCACTGTGCTATTTACCAACTGTGAAACCTTAGGCAAGTTACAATCTCTCTTGCCTCAGTTTTCTCATGTGTAAAATAAAGGTAATGACAGTACTTATCCCTCTTACCACATAACTTCTCACATTGTTCTGAGGATTAAGTGACTCAATATAGTATATAAAAATGTTTGAACAACACCCAGCACATAATAAGTGCTATACAAGCGTTAGGTGCTGCAAAGGGCTCCTGGACCAGCAGGGTAGCTGACAATTCAACTCAATTCTGACCTTATCTACCCAAAATCAGAATCAGATTCCACCAATAAAGGACTCAGTCCCACAAGACCACCCTCCACTTTAGACGCCAATCATTAAGTCGTGGTTGTTACCTATATACTTCTGACTGATGGGCTACAAATCAGAGGTGCCCACAACCCCCTCCTTGGGTTCAATTAATTTGCTAGAACGGCTCATAGAACTCAGAGAAACATTTTACTTACTAGATCACTAGTTTATTAGAAAAGGATATAACTCAGGAACAGCCAGATGGAAGAAACATAGTACAAGTATGTAGGAAGGGACACAGAGCTTCCATGACCTCTCTGGGCATGCCACGCTCCCAGCACTTCCATGTGCTCACCAATCCCCATCTCCAAAATAGAGGCAATGAGTTGTCCTTTGGGGTTTTTACGGGGGCTTCATTACGCAGTCATGACTGACAAAGTAAGTGGCCACTGGCAAGTGATTCAACCTTAAGCGCCCCCCTCCATGGAAATCAGGAGGTGGGACTGAAGGTTCCAATCCTCTGATCGCCTGGCTAGTTCTCCTGGCAACCAGCCCCCACTCTTGGGTGGGATCCAAAAGTCACCTTCATTAACATAAACAAGACACCTATATCACTCTCAACACTTAAGAAATCCCATGGGTTCTAGGAGCTGTGAGCCAGAAACTGGATGAAGACCAAATACATAGTTCTTATAATAAATCATAATATCACAGGTGCTATTAATATTATTTTGTTAAAAGTTTTTACAGAGCCAGGGCCAGCCCACTTCAGCAGCCCAGGTTCTTTTCCCCGGGCGTGGACCTACACTACTCTGTTGGCAGCCATGCTCTGCTGGCAACCTACGTACTAAAATATAGAGGAAGACTGGCACGGATATTAGCTCAGGGCAAATTTTCCTCAGGAAAAAAAGAAATTTTTTACAGGGCCAGTTCTGGTGGCCTAGTGGTTAAGTTCAGCACGCTTCTCTTCAGCAGCCCAGGTTCAGTTCCCAGGCGTGGACCTACACCACTCATCTGTCAATGGTCATGCTGTGGCAGCAGCTTACATACAAAAAGAGGAAGATTGGCAACAGATGTTAGCTCAGGGCAAACTTTCCTTGGAAAAAAAAAAATTTTTTTACAAAGACAAACTAAAACTATCTCATGCTCTAAAAAGAATGTTCATTTCATTAGAGAGATTACTTACGTTCAAAAAACTTCCACTTTTATAAAAACAAGAATTGCATTAAAATATACAATGCAATTACATTAAAATATAAAATACAGCCTCAAATACCTGTTTGGAACACAAGTTCTTTTCCTCCTACACCCGCTGCCTCCAAGTTAATGAATGCACGAATCAAGCTGGCCCAGGGGTGCTGAGTGATGAAACCGTGACTGGCCTGAATAGGAAGGAAACAGAACAAACAGAGGTTAAATAATCTTAAACTATTAGTCTTTATTTTGCTTACTTTAAAGACAGAACATCTACGTTGATGAGGGGAAGAACAGGAAAATAACCATTTTTTCAAAGGCGGTATCTAACAGACATCTATCTGGCTCTCTCTCTATGCATGACGGCTGTGTGCAGTTTGCTGAGCGGAAAGTCATCATCACAGGAGGCAGCCGGAGTTCCATGAGTGATGCCAACAACGTCCTTAGTAAGCGTGAGGCTGTGCAAAAGAAAGCGCAAAAGAATAGGGGAGAAGGGATGACCTGCCTGGGTGGGTGCCTGCCTCACACTGTGTGCCTGTCTCAAAACATCTCCGAAACTCCGCTGTCAAAGAAACCCTGAGGTGAATAATTATGCCATCGCAGAATCCTTTTAGGAATCAAACACTGACAAGATGATCTGTTCTAAGCTGAGTTTTCAAATACTGAACATGTGTGCATAACTGACTATGGAATTTTTAAACTACTGCCAGGTACAATGTTTCTTTTGCACGTCATTTTATAATACCACTTAAATGAATAACCAAAAGGCATAAGTGTTAGCTATTATCATTATTACTCTCATTATTATTAGTCAACCTTAGTACTTAAAACAGTAAAATCTCACTTGCAAGACATTTTCCTCAGCACCATTAAAGAGAAAAATGACAGCATGATGTAAGGCTTCTGAAGACGTTGACAAGACGCGAAGGACTTCCAGCATCACTGAACAGCTAACTGCATCATCACTGGCACCTTTAAATCAGAAAAAGAGATTTGCTTCTCAGACTTTAAAACCTTCACAGTAGGAACCATCATGGCTAGGAATGGGGTGTTCTCATCACAGAAGCTGCAGAAACACAGCTCACTCTGTCATCTGGGGATGAGTAGATCTACCAGCAGTAAACTCCATGAGGGCAGGGATCTTTATCTGGTTTGCTTGCTGACTTACTCTCAACGTCAAGAACTGTACATAGCCGAAAGTAGATGCTCACTTAATATTTTCTGAATAACCAACCAGATGGGACCTAAATTTGACACTGAAAACTGGCATTTTCATCAACCCAAGGTAACTTGTTTCATTCTTTATCCTTATTCCACATCCTCTGTAACCTCATTTCTCGTGTTCACAGCTTCCTATATCATCTCCCACTGCCACCCTCTCCTTTCCTGCTTGTTTTCCCGCCAAAATCATAAAAGCTGCAGATCACTCCACATTGATAGGAGGGTCAGTTTGGAAAGTGTAGCTTTTTTTTTTTTGCTGAGGAAGATTCGCCCTGAGCTAACATCTGTGCAGTCTTCCTCTATTTTACATGTGGGTCACTGCCAAAGAATGGCCGCCAATGAGTGGTGTAGATCCACACCTGGGAACTGAACCCAGGCTGCTCAAGTAGAGTGTGCTGAACTTAACCACGAGGACATGGGGGCCAGGCCCTGGTGTAGCAATTTTTAAGCTTTCTCCAAGGGGATCATGTGATCAAAAGTACAAAGAAGACACCAAATCTAGTAAGATACAGGGAAGGAGACTAATGACCTAAGTATTATCCCTGGTCCTAGCACTGATAAAGCAGAGGACCTCATCAATCACTTAACTTCTTCTTGATTCAGAAACTTTACATATTAATTAAAACTGATTATAAAGATGACTTTTAGCGTCTTGATTTTGTTAAAGCACTTAAGAGCAGTTAAAGGAACTCATTGGATATTTGATGATATTAAGGAATTACTGTTAAGTTTTTTAGGTGAGGTACTTCATGGTATTATGGGCATGTCAAAAAAGAGTCCTTAGGGTTGGTCCAGTGGCTCAGCAGTTAAGTTCGCACATTCTGCTTCAGCGGCCCAGGGCTTGCTGGTTTGGATCCCGGGTGCAGACCTCTGTATTGCTTGTCAAGCCATGCTGTGGCAGGCGTCCCACATATAAAAAAGTAGAGGAAGATGGGCATAGATGTTAGCTCAGGGCCAGTCTTCCTCAGGGGGAGGAAAAAAAAACAGGAGGCTTGGTGGCAGATGTTAGCTCAGGGCTAATCTTCCTCAAAAAAAAAAAAAAGCAAGAGTCCTCATCTTTCAGGGATATAGACTGAAATACTTATGAAGAAACTGATACAGCTGAGATCTGCTTCACATAATCAAGGGTTGCCTGGATGGGGTAAAGAAACAAGATCAGACTGTTGAAGCTGGGTGATAGGTAAACTCAGGTTCATTAAACATTCTATTTTTGTACATATTTGAAATTTTCCATAATAAAAATTTTAAAGAGTCATCAAAGTAAGCAGGCACAGCAATAACACAAGCAATTGCATTTCTGATTTTACACAGTGGGAGGCAGGGTGCTACAGAGTTTAACGTGGGTTTCTTAAGAAAGACTTGGAAGTAAGTTCTAGCTCTGTCATTCACCCATTTTCCTGGTCTAGAAAGCAGGCTAATAATATCTACCTCACAGGTGTATTGTGAGTATTATAAGATAAAGTGGTCCACATTCAATTTTAGTTTTTCCTTCTTCTCTTTGCAAACTTAAGGAAGGCTCTGCAGCCAGCTAAAATGCTTGTCTTGGCGCTAGTAAATTCCAGACTCCATCCCTACCCAAGAAGTAACTACTTATTAGCTATAATTGTCTCGGTTGTGAGTACAGGATTGTAATTTAATCAATAATTATCTAATTACTATCAAGTAGGAAGTATTTGTAGCTATCAGTAAAAAGTGCCACCTTTCAGGAACCAAATGAAATTAATGGTTTTTAACTTTCAGACTGTGAAAACAGCAAAAAAAAGCAAACAATAAAATTTTTCTTTATTCAAAGAGGGAAACTGAAAGAGATGTATCTAGATAGGGTTGATTAAAAAGTTAAACTGTGGGGCTGCCACCGTGGCCGAGTGGTTAAGTTGCGCGCTCCGCTGCAGGCGGCCCAGTGTTTCGTTGATTCGAATCCTGGGCGCGGACATGGCACTGCTCATCAAACCACACTGAGGCAGCGTCCCACATGCCACAACTAGAAGGACCCACAACGAAGAATATACAACTATGTACTGGGGGGGCTTTGGGGAGCAAAAGGAAAAAAATTTAAAAATCTTAAAAAAGAAAAAAAATGTTAAACTGTCAGGGCTGGCCCCGTGGCCGAGTGGTTAAGTTCGCATGCTCTGCTGCAGGCGGCCCAGTGTTTCGTTGATTCGAATCCTGGGTGCGGAGATGGCACTGCTCATCAAACCATGCTGAGGCAGCGTCCCACATGCCACAACTAGAAGGACCCACAACGAAGAATATACAACTATGTACCGGGGGGCTTTGGGGAGAAAAAGGAAAAAAATAAAATCTTTAAAAAAAAATAGTTAAACTGTCCATTTATCTTCCTTTATTTTAATGGTTCTGGTGTCTGAGAACAGAACTAGAGAAGGGTCATATATCACTAAGAAAGTGAAGGTAAATTAGAGGACAGTAACTATAAAGGCTAGCTGGTTAACCAACCATCCCTTTCCATTTAGAATTAACCCTGAAATTGAAACCACCTGTAAAATAACTCAATGTCTCTTCTACCAACAACCTGGAACCACATGGCAAACCCAAAATATTTAAAGCCTTTCTGTGGATAATATTACTCCTAATTGGTATCAGTCCCTGAGTTCCAGATACAATGCCAAGAAGAACTTTTAAAAAATACCCATGTTTCAATTAGTTCATCCACTAAAAGGATTTAGGTGATAGTCTATTTTATGACTCTGTTTTTAAACTATTTTTAACAATTTATTATTGACAGAAATGTCCTTGAGATTGTTGGTACAGGTATTCTGATAAAATTTTAGGGGCCAGCCTGGTGGTGCAGCAGTTAAGTTCGCACGTTCCACTTCAGCGGCCCGGGGTTTGGGGCTCGAGGTTCAGATCTCGGATGTGGCCATGGCGCCACTTGGCGAGCCATGCTGTGGTAGGTGTCCCACATATAAAGTGGAGGAAGATGGGCACGGAAGTTAGCTCAGGGCCAGTCTTCCTCAGCAAAAAGAGGAGGATTGGCAACAGATGTTAGCTCAGGGCTAATTGTCCTCAAAAAAAATAAATAAATTTTAGTTAAAAATGGGTTCCAAAAACCCACAAAAATGTCATCCTTTCATTATTGGATTCCATATATGTGGTGTGTAACATCTGGCACTATGTTTCTGATATCTGTATACACATCTTTCTTATATAATGTTCTTAAATAACCGTGGTATTAATTTGCTCCTTCCTAGAATTTAAGCATAATAATAGTGGGCATAGGGTGACACTTATTTTATGACTGCTTTGAAATAGGCATAAAAGATCTCTGGTTTCCCCAGCACACACAAAGGTATTTCTGACTTTATAAAACATATGTGTGAATACTGATTTTTGAAAAAGCATTTTACATTCTGAATGCAACTGGCAAGCTTTCTTATTAAAGATTTCCTAGTATGAATCATTTTACCAAGCAAATAAATTTTATTTTATATTTGGCATAACTCTAGATGTTCACATTGGGCCTGCTATAAATTCAAGCAATCTCGAAATACTAATACTACATAACAATTAATAGCAAAAAAAAAAAGGATTTTTTGTGCCAGGTATTATTTTAGTAATTTACTTGTATATAATCCTCATTTAATCCTCTATGCAATGCCAATAGCAAAGTACTATTATTATCTCCATTTTACAGATGAGAAACTGAGGAAAGAAGAGGGTAAGCAGTTTGCCAAAGGAGTCATTAACTACACTCTATTACTCTCCACCCTTTCAAATGCAGCTGAAAGAACTGACTGGCCAGGAAACCCAGCACATGGTCCCACCTCTGTCTCTGATCAATGGTGATCAACTAAGTTGATTCCTGTGTCAAATGAGGAGGTTGAACCAGATGCCATCTTAAGTCTCGTCTACCTCTAAAATGCTATGATTCCATTGTAAAATGCTACTATTTTCTATTTTTCCCTACTTACAATCTAACTACTGAAGACAACTTTCTGATGAGTCTTATTTTTAAAAGTGGAAGTTCAATTTAGGGGATTCTCATTCATTCAACAAATATTCACTGTGTCACGCACTGTCCTACACATCAAGAGTTCTATTTTGTCGAAGTATTTTCAGAGCAAAATTTATGGATTAATGAGGTACCTTAACAATCCGGCATCCCCAGGAGACCAAAATTCTCACTTCACAGATTGAAAGAAACTGCTAGGAGAGATGTCCTCCAAACCCTGTGTCCCCTGAAGGCAGGGACTGTTCCTTTATCCTGTATCCCCAAAGCCTAGTACAACACCTAGCTGAGTAAACACCTGAAGCAGCAGAACATAACTGCAGGACTCATGGACACCTCCTGGTAACACTAATAAAACTGCTTCAGTGTCACTGGGCTGCTGGTACTCACGTTTACAAAATAAATAAACAAAGCATTGAGAAAACAGTGAGGTGTTAGATCTTAAACTAAATGATACTATTCTAATTATCCCGCCTTCCATCACAATGAAAAAAGGGCTGTCTGTGAAAACAGTGCCCCACAGGTGCCTAAGCAGCTCGGAGTTAATAAGCTTTCTGGGCTGTGACAACTTCAAAATGACTAAAAAACAGGTACCTACCTGGTGAGTTTGCCACTGAGTCAAAATGACAGTTAGCCAGGACCGCATGCTGGGCTCCATCTCTGGGTTCCAGCTTTACTACAACGTTGGTGATATTGTCATAGTAGCTTGTAAAACCACCCAAGAAGTCAATGCTAAAGGAACCTGTGGGCCGCTGTACATCTACTGAAATCTTGTGAAGGCTGCTGCTTTGAACTTCAATCAGTTTAATCTGTTCCAGGAGGTAATGCACCGTCAGAATTTCATTTTCTGGACTTCCTGTAGTCCTGGGGCCAATGGCTGTTATGTGTTCAAGATAATCCCTGGAAGTGACCAAAAGAATGATGTCCAGGCATGCTAGACTTAACGCTTAGCACAGAGGAACTTTTCCCCCACACTCCCCCTCCCCACCAAAAACAAGTTCTTGGACTTCTCACATAAAAAAGCCTGCCTTTTATTATTTCAGGCACCCTGTGAAAATCACTTGTCAAGTTCCATCATTTTACTTTGCCTCCCCCATGGCTTCATCCCTTCAGAGTTTTCTCCACCCCCTCTATTCCCAAATTCTCCCAATCCCCATATCCAATCGTTACAAAGACTAGGGATTCCATTCAAAACGTGTAACTGCTGAAGGCCACAGAGGACAGGATACAACTCCATTGTGCCACACTTGGGAGGGTTACTGATCCAGGGTTACTGACTCTAAGTAGCAGAAACCACTGAAGAAGGCCAATTAAGTCAAGAGGTCCGATAAGCAAAGAAAAACTTTTGATTGTGAGGAATGGACTTAGCCCTCCTGGTGTGCACACAAGGCCTTGTAACTTCAGTTCAGGCCCAAACCAACTCTACCCCTAAAACAAACAACATTTTTTGTCTTTTCACTGCATTCCAAGAGAGGGAAAAAAAGGTGGGAGGAGGGGGGTTCTAGAAAGTTCTTAGGAAAATAAACTTCCTGCACTTTGTACTCAAAAGTTTTTAAAACACAATGGCTACTGAAAACTCTTCTAGCTTACGATTTTATGAGCTTTGACACACTTACGTTACCATACCTTTGACTTAATCATCTTCCCTAGTACAGTCTTTTTTTTTTTTTCCTTAAAAAAAAAAGTCAAACCTTACACACCAGGGGCCCAAGGACAAGCTCCAGGAACCAGAGCACTTCTGAAATTGTAAAATTTTGAACATGCGGTCTTGCAGGCAGTCTCCATAACTCCCAGGTTTCAGGATTGTGTCCCCCAAAAGTTAGATCACTGGAATATCCCCTTCGACATCTCCCCCAAAAGCGCATTTATAAAATGGTCTAGGTACACAAATGTCACTCTCCTTCATTTCATTTGGAAAGCAGGACGACTAGTAAAAAGTGGAAGTTGCTCAAGAAGATGGGGGACGACTACCAACCAACCATCTGTAAAGTGGGGCAGAAAAGCAGGCGCAATTCCCCTGTCTACCCCTATGTGCACCACGAGCTTGACAAGGGCGCACGCAAGCCCCGAGTCAGGTAAACTGGGACTCCAGAAGAGGGACCCTCAAGGCCACCCCACCACAGGTGCAGCCGGGCGGAGGCGGCGAGCCCGGCCGGTCCCGCGGGGCGGGCGCACGCAGGTGTGGTGCCCGGGCCCCGGCAGGGGCCGCAAAGGGACGTTCGGCGTTGGAGGGAGCAGCCGGTACCTGGCTTGGCCCGCGTCGAACTCCCCGCGGTGCCCAGGGGCCCCGCGCAGCACGAGCTGCTGCAGCGAGAGCTGCACGAGAGTCCGCAGCGCGAGCAGGTAGAGCGCCAGCCCCAGCGCGGCGGGCGCCTCAGACAGCGCGCTGCCCGCCCCGCTCCGCTTCCGCGTCCTTGCGCCACCACCGCACGAGTCCGCCAGGGAATCCTGCGCCGGGGCCTCCCTCTCCGGTTGCGGCGTGGCCCCCGGGCCGTCCCGGCGCTCCCCTCCGACGCGGTGCCGCCTCACGGCCGCCGACTCCGAACCCCACTCCATAGCCACGAGCCTCCGCCGCCAGCACAACTACCCCAGCCCGCGACAGCCCCGGGAGTAGCCGCGGCGGCAGCAGCGCCTCCTAGTGAGCGGACGGAAACTGCAGAGGGCCAAACTTGTTCTGATTGGCCCGTCCCGCCGCGCTGCGACCCAGCCTCCAGGCAGATGGCTGGCGGGCACCGCGGCAGGACCGGCCCTGGCTGAGCGTAATGGATGTGCCATCTCCTGCAGGGCTTCCTTGCCTGGCGTGGGACAGAGATTTCCAAATGGAAAGATACCAAGAAACCCGAGAAAAATGAGGTACTGCTTTTAAAAGAATGCGCGTGGTGCACCACGCCGATGAAGGCCACGGCCCAGCTTTCATAAGGAGCGTTAGAACAGGCTCTGGAAAAAGTAGGCTCCTGGCTCTCAAAATTAGAAATAGGATGGCGCAGAGGAGGCCCAGCCTCATGCATCCACACACGTCATCTAATCACAGATCTTCATAACCGTGTGGGGTCCCTGGCAGTACCACTGTCTCCATTTAAAAGATGAAGAAAAATAATAGCAATTATTTATTGAACACCTGCCATGAACCAAGCACTGTGCTAAGTGCTTTAATACATTATCTCATTTGATTCTCCTAAGAACCCTGAAAAGGAAATATTTTTATTCCCACTTAATAGCTGATACAGGTAACAGATGAAGAACTTAAATCTAGTTCAGCCGGCTCCCAAAACAGCATTCTGTTCCACTACCGAATATGGCACCTGGAAAGGAAGGTTTAGAAAAGCTATTCCTCCCTCCATGTCCCCCTGGGTGGTAGGAGGCAGAGCCTTGGTTTTGGTAGGTCCTCACAATCATCTCGTCTTCTTGCCTGCCGATGCGGCGAGCCTCTCTGCTTCAGAGTTCTGCGCTCCAGCACGCAGTTGCTGTGGCAGCATGATCATTAACCTGGAGACCCACTTGGATGGTGTCCTGCCCTACAGGTCTGCTCCTGCCTACTGCTCAGGCCCACTTGACACCAGGTTGCTCATTATTGCCAGCTCTGCACTCACACTGGCCTCTTTCAAAGTCCTTTCTGCTCACCATCTTTCCTTCTACAAGAAGTTCTTACACGCTCTTTGAGTTGCCTGGCATGTCCTTCCTTCCCCTCACTGCCTAGTTAACCCCTACTTATTCTTCACATCTCTCATCTTAAGTGGTACTTCCTCAAGCAAGAATCTCCTAATCTAATGAAGCCAGTTTCCCCTATTTGTAGGATCTCATAGCACCATGTATGCATGTAATTACTTAATATCTTCCTCATGAGACTGTAAACTCCTTGAAGGCAAGAATCATGTCTGGTTTTGTTCACCATTTTATTCCCGCCTCTTAACACAACAAAGCATGCCGTGTACTGTGTAGAAAATAAATCTTTCTGATTGAGTGAATAAATGAAAACACAATTTTATGGCAGCAGCGTAATTTTAGCTCGATGAGATCCTTTTTGGTCTGTAAGGTCCATAAGACCAAAGACAATGTCTTATTTATTCATCACCATGTCCCCAGTATTTAGCTCTGTGCCTCGCCCACGGTCATCACTCAGTGCATGTTTACTGAATGAACAGATGAGTGTATATTGTCTTTATAAGAACCAGCTGTCCTGCTATTCTCTTTCCAAAACCTCTGGTGCTTCCACCATCTTCAGAAGATAAGATCTTAGAAACGACTCCTTCCACGGCAGCATAATAAGATGTGGAGGTCTCTAATGCCTAGGGGAAGGGCACAAATGTTCCCTGGTCTTTTCAGTTTTACATCTCTTATGCTGTCTCTTGCTGGCCTGGGTACATGTCAGAAAACCCAAGGATGAGATGCACCTCTCAGGAGCTGTGTTACTGGTTAAATCATTTGAGCTTTTTCTGAATGAATAATGTATGTTAAGCATCTGTGACAATATTTTGTGGGAGGCAGTGTACGATAACAGAAAAAAAGCCTGGCTGTTAAAGTCAGATAGATCTGAGTTCCTGAATTGTGTACCTTCGACACGCATGGCCTTACAAGTTCCAGTCCCAGAGTCTGTGTCCTTAATCTGTGATAATGGAGATAATGCCTGGCTTAAAGAGCTTCAATGAGGATTAATCAGCTAAGGCATGTGAAAGATCTTCACACATAAATCTCATTAAATACTATTTTCCAGAACTTTCCTTCATATACAATCCTTTGAAGATTGGATTAAAAGCCATTTTCCTGTCATGTTAATCAGAGAGCCCCAGGTGGCAAAAGCTGAATTGTTATAGTGGGGTTCTTAGAAGGGAGTTTTCCTCTAGATTTATGCAAACTGTGGTATTCACATTTAAGTATTTTTAAGCTACTGGTTTTTGGATATCTACTCTGTCAGATACTGATCCAGGTGGGGAAACATAGAGAAGAACAAATCAATATTTCTGCCTTCACAGAGCTTATTACATTCTAGTGGGGAGACAATAAACAAGAGTGTCGGGGGGGTGGGGGGAGGTGAATAAAATGTCAGATAAAGTGCTATGAAGAAAAATAGAAAGGGCCAGCCTGGTGGTGCAGCGGTTAAGTTCACACATTCTGGTTCCGTGGCCCAGGGTTCACCAGTTTGGATCCCCGGTGTGGACCTAGACAGCGGCTTATCAAAACATGCTGTGGCAAGCATCCCACATAAAATAGAGGAAGATGGGCACAGATGTTAGTTCAGGGCCAGTCTTCCTCAGCAAAAAGAAGATTGGAGGCAGATGTTAGCTCAGGGCTGATCTTCCTCAAAAACAAACAAACAAAAGCAAACAAAAAAAGAAAAATAGAGCAGGGAATTGATGGAGGCTGCTGTTTTAAGTATGGTGATTGGGACAACCTCTCTGAGGAGAGGAGAATTCAGGTGATGTGGATCAAGTGAGGAATGGGGCCATGAAAGCTTGAGGAAAGAATGTTCTAGGCAGAGGGAAATTAACTGGGATGTTCAGAAGTGACATGTGGCTAAAACAGGCTGAGCAAGGAGGGCAGTGATAGAGGGAAGGTCGGAGAAGTAGGCAGGGGCTGGTGCAAGGAGGGCCTCCCAGGTCACAGCAAGGACTCTGGGGTGGTTTTGGGCAGTGAAAGGTCAGGCTCTAAGTTATGTTTTTTGAGGTCGCTCAGAGTCTCAGTGTTGGGCAGAGCATCATGATGACTACACCTAGATCGTAGAGGCTAATAAAAGACTTTGCTAATGTCTGGCCTTTGAAGTGTTTGAGGCCATTGACCTGTAGTTTTATTTGTGTGGGAAGTAGACCACAGCGAATTGAAACACCTACTCTAGTTCCCACACATCAAATTGCTGATGAGGATGGAACAGGCTGTGAAAGGCTTCAGCTGCCCCATCTGGTGAGCTGTTGATCAGTGGGCTTGACTCAATTCATCTGGCTTGGCAGACAGTTATGTTTTTCTTGTGTGCCCCTTTATGACAAAGTGAGAGCTAGACTGACCAACAGGCTTAGAGATGCCCCAAGTCCCTTTTGTTTTGCCATCTTCCCACTACTTCCTAGTGACCTGGCCAAGGTGAGTGGAAGGACATGTAAGCTGTCAGGATTCAGGTGAATTGCCAGTCTCTGTCTTCCACAGAGGTCATCCCACAGCCTATGTGCCTCTTTCTTTTTTTTTTTTTTAGGAAGATTAGCCCTGAGCTAACTACTGCCAATCCTCCTCTTTTTGCTAAGGAAGACTGGCCCTGAGCTAAAATCCATGCCCATCTTCCTCTACTTTATACGCGGGATGCCTACCACAGCATGGCTTTTACCAAGTGGTGCCATGTCCACACCCGGGATCCGAACCAGCGAACCCCGGGCCGCCGAGAAGTGGAACATATGAACTTACTTGCTGCGCCACCGGGCCGGCCCCTATGTGCCTCTTTCTTTGGAGAGGAGCTACTAGGGCACCGGTGAAAGTTCCCTGGGACGGAGGCTGGCAGAATGGTGCCTTTTACCTGATGTTACAGTGACATTAAAATCCCGGGAGGCGTCAAGCCAAGGGATGAGAAAAGAAGCCAAACCAGCCCCAAAAGACAGAAGCAGATGTCCAAAGCTGACAGGCAGAACAAGTCAAAGATTGAGCAACCAAGAACAAAGATTACAAATGCAAAAGGGATCTTGTGTAAATGTTGTAGACAGGTACTGTTGTCTACAGCTGGGCTTTATGTGCTCACTGAGGTGGCATGAGGGTGGGCCAGCTTTGTTTAAAGGGCCAGGGATGGAGCTCATGTCCTGGGTTTTTTGGGGGGTGAGGAGGGAAGTGTTGGATCCCCTCAGGCTTAAGCATGGGCCTCAGGGTGCTGGTGGACAATTGTCTTCCTCACTACAAAGCTCTGCAATGGAACATATGGGAGCTGGTGACAATGGTCAGCTACAGAAAGCACCTCCAATAAGCCAGGCAGCCTGACAGCTGACAGTGCTGAGCTGTCCTTGGAGCCCAGGGAGAGAACGATGGTGCCCCACTTTTCCATCCCCTTCAAACTCCAAGTTGGTCCCTCCTGCTCCCTAGTTCTCTATAGCTGGTAACCACCTAAGAGGTAGAAAACCAGTCCCGCTACATTATTAGCTGAAACCACCATGTCAGACTACCTTTTTCCATGGCCAACTGGAAACGACGTTCTTTGATTTTTG